CTCTATTGATTATGTCCAATTTATTATTTAGCTTGTTTGTACATACTTGTTTACATATTGTTTCCCTCATGAGACAGTGAGTTAACACTAACTAATTTGACTATTTTGTGCCTTTCTCTGTATCCTCAGAACTTAGCAGAGTCCATGGCACAAAGTAGCAGCTTAATAAATGTTTATTTACTGACTGGCTTGGGACTCAGCAGTAAGACAGTGCATTTCACTTCTGGGACCAGATGGGATGATCAATACTTTTCTAAAGGATGAAGGCTGGTTCCTCATACCTACCCATATAAACAGCCTGCCAATCACTTCCATTCTCAGACTGCTATAGGCAGATGACTGCCTATCTAGATTCCATTTCTCTGGTTCAAAAGCAGACAGTAATAGAAAGACTGAATTGACCAGTGGTTTCTGTATTAGAATTAGATGGGAATGATTAAACTAAACATTTGTGACATTCTTTACACACACACACTAATAATAAAAACCTATTTCTGAAGAATGCTAAGCTATTTGAAATTCACTAAATCAATACAAAAGAGCCAAGCATTTTACTATTTCAGTATTTTAAATAATAATAACTAATAAGGACAAAAAGACTTTATTAATTTACATATACCTCTGTGGCTAGTCAACACCACTTGTTCATCTGTCCAGAAGAAGGTTGCTAGGTAGCAAAGCAAGGTTATACTCTAAGGGTATGCTAGGTTCTCTTCTCATTTCCCTTATTCCTATCAGCGATTTGTTTTTGTGAGCTCTCAGTCACTACTGGTTCAAATAACAAAGAATAATAACTCCCAATATCCCCAAGTCAGCCCTCTAAGAAAAAACAATTACAAAGAGAGGAGAAGGTAAGGAAAGGGGAGGTAAGGAAAGGGGAGGGAAGAGAAAATGGGAAAGAAGAGAGAAGAGGACCCAGGATTCAGTCTTGCAGGATATTAAAGTTTAGGAAGGAGACAGATGACAATACAGCAAGAGAGACTGAGAAATAGCTGTCAGTTAAGTAGGAGGAGAACCAAGATATGTTAAAGAAGCCAAGGAAGGAAAAAGAATCCAAGAAGGGATAATTAATGTCAAAAGATACAGAAAAATTCAAAAAGGATTGAGGTCTAAGATCACTAGATTTAGTAATTAGGAGATCACTGATAAGCTTTGAGAAAGAAGTTTCAGTACAACAGTGGATTCATAAATTTATAGATTTTATAAGTTTATACTCAGTTTATAAATCCTGAGTGAGAAGTAAAGTGACAGCATGTAACTCAATGATATCAAAAACAGAAAGGTGCCACATACATCACAATATTCATGGCAGTACCTTTTGTACTAAAAAAAAAAACTGGAAATGAAATAGACGTCCATCAATTGGTGAATGGCTGGCAGAGGAGTGTAATGGGATATTATCGCACTAGAAGAAAAAATGAATATGAGGAATTTCAAGAAAAATGGGATGAATTATTTGAACTATTCCAGAACAAAGTAAACAGAACCAGTAGAACAACAGAAACAATGACTACAATACTGTAAGTGAAAACAACACTTAAGGCAGCCAAACTCAGATTAATTGTAATGATTAATCCTGATGCTTAAAGAACAGATATTGAAACACACTGCCCTCCTCAGTAAAAAGCTGGGAGACTACATTAGTACACAAATGTAATTTAGTTATATTCAAAGTTGAAGCTCTTTCTTCTCCCTAATATCAGGATCTTTTTGTATTAGAAGTTTTTCTCCCTTACAAACCCCAGCTTCTCTCTAGAATCTATGCTAGCATTGAATCTGTACTTTCACTTAAGAGGATATCCTGAGACTATTTTCGTGGCAATGCCCAAGTAAATTAGATGTATCAAGAATTCCCTTGACATACTTAAGCCCATACCAATGTTTGCTAATCTGCATAACCAGATAGTTTTAAATGTTCCGCTCCTTCCCTACCTTTTTGTCATTTACTGCTAAACTGAAGTCTCCTCTTGGAATTCATAGTGTCCGCTTGTGTCCAAGTGGGTAAGGGTATGTTCTCAGATAACACACTTTCCTAATTCCTGTTAATGGTCTTTGAGTAACAAACTGGGCAAAGAGCATTTCAATAGACTATGATTCTCACCCCAATTTAACCAATAATAACGCTCAGAGATCCTAAAATGTATATGTTGGAGCAAAAGTAGCAATTATCACATTGCTTCTCCAAAAGTAAATAAATATCCTAGAACATCAGGAGAAACAAGGAAAACTGATACATTTCTGAGGTGAGACTTTTCCCATAGAAAGGAGAAAAAAGGTATATCATCTTTGGTATTAGATGTTTTGATAAGACTTAAAAATATTCAGGATCTCCCCTCTCATTTGAATCTCAAGATTTCCATGACACCTCTAATATATCTAAGTCCATTGCTATTGCCCTCCTCATAATGTTTAGAAAAGTGGCTGGGGGCTGCTTTCCTTCATAATAGGCTTAGCTTTTCTCCTCTCTTTCATTAAAAACTCTTTTTCCTACCCTGTTTGCTGCAGTCTGGCACAAATATATTTTGTTATGACTAATCCTTCCTATAAGAAGGGATTTGGGGGGGTGGCCTATTTATAGCTGGGGATAACTATCAGTTCTATTCAAGTTACTCAGATTAAGTCTCAGGTTTAGAGTACTAGATTCAACCCATTAATAAGGCCACTGATCACTTGTATTTTAGAAGACAAAAAAAAAAAATCATACCCAGAATTACTTGTTGGCCCAAATTTCTTTATTTCTCATATTTCCTTTATGGCTATGACAAAAATTGAATTGCTAGTGTTTTCTTTAGTCTAAGAAATAAGAACCATTCAAGCTGCACTTCTGACTTTCCTAGACCTTTTCCACAATGCCTCAGAAACCTCTTAACCCTACAAGTTTACTCTACCCCTAGACTTCACAGATTGAAAGCACCTTCCTCACTTTCGCCTCTCCCCTTCCGACTGGCTAGTTCCTCCCAGAACCTTCAGTTAAAGGAAGAGGCCCAAGCTAGTCATGTCTTCATTCTTCTTCAGGCTGTACTTCTGACTCTCTCTGACTTTATAATACACCTCCCTCCCCAGCTCATCTCCCACTGGGTACCTTCATCTCTCCTGCCCCTTTTCAGATTCCTTTGCATTATCTTCCCTCATTAGAAAGTAAGCTTCTTGAAGGCAAAAAAAAAGTCTTTCTGCTTTTATTTGTATTCCCAGAGCTTAGCACAGTGCCTGGCACAGGATAAACACTTAATAAATGCTTTCTGACTTAACTAGTTGACAGTATATACTACCTTTCAACCTCCATGCTCTTCTATTGCCTCTCTATTACTGTGACATAAGGAAGACGTAAAATTCTGGTGAGTTTTTTGACAATTAAAATGTTTTTTAAATTAAAATAATGTCCAGGAGGCAGCACGATCTACCGGAAAAAACAGACTTCGGAACCAGGAGACCTGGGTTTAAAATCTGGCTCTATCTGCATTACCTTAGAAAAGTCATGACCTTATTATCTTCAGCTTCCTCATGTGAAAATGGAGGTTGAGGTGAGGGGAGGTAGAAGTGGGGTTTGAAATGGAATTTCCTGTGTACCTTCCAGCTCAAAATTCTGTGACCAACAGTGCTACTCTTCTACGGTCTCAAGCTCCTTCTCTCCCACTCATTTTCTTCGAGTTACTGATATCACAACCCTCCACCTACCTCCCTTTACCTGACAACTAAAGCGCATTTCCTTTTTTAACCCTCACTCGGCCTTCCTGAAGTACAATATTTTTAACTTGTAACCTCACTATCACATAATAACCCCCACACTTTTTTACAACAAATCCCTTACGCCATATTTTCAGTGAAAACCCTTGAATTACATTTGAATCTAAATAATTATAATCTCCTAAAATGCTTCCCCTCAAGATATATTAACACCTCCTTATGGAGTAAGAATATTTTCTTTCACATTCAAACTGAATATGTGATGCCTCACCACGGTTATTCAATATAACAACATTAAGCAGAAAACATACTACTTCCTTTCCTTTCACAGTACCTCCTCTTTTTAAAAGGTTAGAAATTAGAAATTGAAAATTGCTTTGTTTCAATGTAGGGCTCAAATTCTGGTTCATTTATGCCACCATGATGAATATTTAAGCTTATGGAATGTTTCTACATACTGAACTCTAAATTGGGACCAAATATTAAGCATTAGCTTAAGGGGCAAGTTAAATAATGCTTAGTATTGTTTTAACTTGGTACATTAAATACTGAACAAGAAAATCCTCCACTTTAATTGGGAAGAATTTAATTTATTAAGTCACCAATAACAAAAAAGTGCAATCGAGAAATCTAAGTTACATGTTTTTCTGGTAGTGTTTACACTGATTATCAGCTGGATAATGCTGAGTGCTAATCAACTGCTAAACACTAGCTATAAAAAAAAGAAACATTTTTATAGGTTTTTGCCTTTCAATGATTATATATTTGAACATCCTTTGTTGTCTTACCAATATTCCTCTGAATATAAGATCTTGTACTATAGATTTAATCAGCAGACAGATGTTCTATGTAGTTGATTTAGTATAATTTTTTCCTAATAAAATATCTGATTACTAACAGCTTATCTGTCCTTTTATCAGAGCAACACGACAAATTATTTTACTTTTTCGCATTAAATTTTAAAGTTTCCTATACTAAAAACAATCTCAAAAGTTAAAAATGTGATCAATACTTTAAAACTAAAGCCAAGTTTCTTGTCTGAGCTTTCAGGAACATATAAAAAAGAAAGGACAATCTTATTCAGACCTTTTCTCTCCTATAAGATTTCTATATACTGTCCTGAATTTAAAGTTGAGTTTCAATAAAAAAAATTTCAAAAATCAGTTTTTTAAAGTATTTTAGGTAATACTACAATTATAAAAATCTAGGAGATAAGAGAAAAACTTAAAATTAGAAAACTACTTCAAATGCATATTTATATAACTCTGAACTTAATGCTTTAAAAGGTAAAACTTAAAGTGTAACTATCAGCTTACCTTCTTTTGATACCAGACTATAGCATCTGTCACTTTGGACGCCATTTATTCCACCGAGATCACACATTAGTCATCTTAGGCTGTGCAAGAAAGAAAACACACACAGAGACAACTTTACTTCCACGTTCTAAGGATAGTCTGAATAACAAGCATATATAATACCCTGGTTACTTGCAGAGCAAGGGGTGTATGACTATACTTACATTACACCGTTCCTCATTACTATTTTAGCAACAGGCTTGCTTGGTAAACAAAAATCAGTTGCCGTAATAACAGAGGGTTCTGCTTGAATACAACAGAGGATACTTTCTACAAAATACGTTGCATGATATAATAATATACTCTTATAAAGAATAGCCACAGAGTTTCTTAGAGTAATTTATAGTATAAATTTGCTATATTTAAATTTATTCTTTCACATTTAAAAATGTAAAAATCAATTCAATTATTGATGCAGCAATATAAAAATTCTATAAGACATTTTACTTAGAATCACAGAGCTATCATAATTATGGGGTAAAAGATGCATTAGCAATCATACTGCGCAATATACCACTTTCTCTTAGAAATCCTCAAGAGTCCTGCTTGAATATTTCCGATCTCTGCTTGAATATTTCAAATTATGAGGAATTCTTTGTTCTGCAAGGCAGTCTACTTTATTGTTAGTATTGAATGTTAAAGTATTTTCTTTTAATTGAGCAGAAAATTGTCTCTCTGTAGTTTCTATCCATTGATCCCAGTTCTGTCCTTTGTAGCAGCTCTGTATAAGCCTCTTCCAGATGACAGCCCTTGAACTATTTAAAGAAAGCTATCATGTCCAACATTCCTATCTCTTCCCCACCCCCAAACTTAGCTTTCTTTTCTTCAAACTTAACTAGATTAACTGTGTTTGAATCTTGATTCTTGACTTACTTGAGTAACCTTGAACAAATCACTTAATAACTCTTAGACCTCAGTTTCCTAAACTATAAAATTAAGTATTGGGCTACATAACCTTTAAGGTCCCCTCGGAATCTAAAACTAAACATTTTTGCACATGACCTAGGTTCCAAATCCCTTAATATTCTGATCACTCACCTCTGGATACTAATTTATCAGTTTCCTCAAACTGTGGTGCCCAGAACTAAATAAAATACTGCAGATATATTCTTACCTTAACACTTAACAAATCAGCACTCTTATTAGCTTTCCCATTCTCTAGCTTAATTTTAAAAGGAAAAAAAAAAAAGCAGCAAAGTCAGAATGCACTTTGACAAAGTAGTTCCAGACATATTTTATATTATTCTCTTTCACTTTACCATACGTTTCAGCCAAAGTGGAAGAACAGCTGTTCCCCAAATTCAACATATTTCCTAACTTCGTGTATTTGAACAAGCTGTCATCCCTGGAGCTCAATTCCTCCTCTTTCAACATCTTTAACTTCTTTCTTGTTAGCTCGACCTCCTCAGCACCTCTCACATGCATCATCTCACTCACAACAGGATCACTCTAGTGCAAGCCTTTATTACCTCTTTCCTAAATTATTGCAAGAGCCTTCTATAATCAATCTCCCTGCATTGCTCATTCCTCTAAACTCTATATTCCACAGTGCTGTCAAATTGATAATCCCAAAGTGCAGGTCTAACCATGTCATTTCTCTGCTTAAGAAACTTCAGTGGCTCCCCATCCTATAAAGTTCAGACCAATGTTCTAGACTGGTGAGACCTTTTTGGATCCTGACTTTGTCATTCTGTGTGTTCACTAGCTTTTCCAGCTTTATATGATTTTAAATCTATGTCTTTACATGAAATCACTGATAAAAATGTTAAATAGTACAGGACCAAATGTAAATGATCCCAGGGATAGGCCACCAAAGACTTTTCAAGCTGACATCAAACAATTAATAACTTCTCTTTGAGTACAGCCATTTATAACCACTTCCAAATCCACTCAACCCATAATTTCTCTAACTTTTATGTATCATGAAATGTATGTGGAACATTACATATAATGTCAGATTATTTTTCAATACATCGGTCAGTTTTGCTGAACTTTTTTTGTCCTTCCTCATTTAAAAAAAATCATTTATTATAAGATATAGCTCTCTAGTAGGGGGCAGGAAAAAGGATATAACGGGAAATATAAGTGATATAAAACAAAAGACAGCAGCAAAAAAATTTTAAATAGTATGAAAATCTTGGTAAACTACATCTATGTCACTTTATAGATCAACTTGGCTAATGCCCCTGTTAAAAAACAGGAAAAAAGATTAGTCTTACATGACCTGTTCTCAATGAAGATATACTAATTGTTTGTGTCATTGTTTCTTTTCCTAGATGTTCACAAACTATACTTTCAATAATATATACTGAATTTTACCAGAAATACAAGTCAATTTCACTGGCCTATAATCTGCAGGCTCAGTTCATTTCCCTTTTATGAAAATCAAAACATGTGCCGTTCTCTTATAGAATGTCCATCATTCTCCATTATCTTTTGAGGATCACTGGAGTAGACAGGGAGAGGCAGAACTCATAGAACAGGGGAAGCGCTCTCCACCATTCTTCCTGTCTCACAGGTCTGTGACTTCAACATTACCCTTGACTCCTCACTTCTTCTCACCCACATAATCAATGAGATGCCAAACCTTGTTTCTGCCTTTCTCTCCCTCACCCGACCCCTTCCCTCTACTCACAAAGTCACCCTACACAGCTGCCAAAACGATTTTCTTTAAAGCGCATCATTGACTGCGTCACTCTCCAATTCAATAAACTACAGGGGCTCCAGACTACCTCTAAAATTAAACATACATTCCTCTGTCTGGTTTTTAAAATTCACACCATGATGCCAACCTATCTTTCCAACACCACTGGACCCAAACTGGCCTCATTCTAACTCACACAAGGTACTCCGTCTCTACTGTTGTGTCTTTGCATTAGCTTTCCTACCTGCTTAGAAGCATTCCCTCCTCACTTCCGCCTCACAGCATCCTTCAGTTCTACCCTCTAAACAAAGCCTTTCTTGAGTACAGATGCACACGTGCGCAAGCATGCACACGCACACACACACACACATGCACACAAGCGTTCTCTCTCTCTCTCTCTCTCCCATCTCCCCTCCCTAAGTACCTAGTATTGATTTTGTATTTATTCTGTACATATTCCCTCTATGTGCAGTATTCTCTACATAGCTATATATATATAATTTCTCCTAACACAATCTAAGTTCCTTGGAGGTAACAGCAATTCAGTTTTTTGTCTTTGTATCCCAATACCTAGATCAATGCCCAACACATAGTAGGTACTTAATGAATGTCTGCTGATTGATCAAGAATTTTCAGAGTGAAACATCCAACCTACCAAGGCCCTAAGAAGGCTCAACCTGAAAAATGTAAATAAATAAGGCCTCAGGCATTCGTGTAGTTTACCTTAGATTTTTTTTTTAAAAAGGGGAGTGGATGGACACTTTACCTACCACATCTAATAAGACAGTGTTCTAAAGATTGGGTAATACAAAGAAGAAAAAGTCAAATAATACAAGAACAATGAATAAATAATAACTTGATAAATCAACTCAAAGATTTGCGAAGATATATTTGAAAAAGATAAGGAGAATAAACAATTATTAAGCAACCTGAACTCTTCAGAAAAGCATACGGTATCCTCAGTATCACAATTCCTGATATATACAAGGTGATTAAATATTTCTTTAAATACTTTTTTGACTGATGGAATGACAATGAAGGACAAAAATGATAATGAAAATATATTAACTTTTTGCTAAATTTTATATTATATGTAATATTTTTCTTTTTTATTAGAGTGTGAGCTGCTTGATGGCAGGGACATGTCTTTAACCTGTCTAAATAGATATCTCCAAAGCTTAGCACGGTGCCTAACATATAATAAGCACTTGATAAATACTTGTTCACTAATCATTGCCTTTTCAATAAAAACAATGTGTTAAATGTATAACGAAATATTATTTAACTTTGATATTTTTGTTAAGACTTCATGTAAATCAACTGACAAATCATAAAAAGATTCTTTGTTAGCCTAAGTTTTCTAATTTCTGGTTCAGAAAATATAAACACCCTATGACAGATACAGCATCTTGAAGATACAAAGGATGAAATAAATGGATTTAATAATTAGCTACTGAAAGACCTCACCAAAAGTAGAACTCAAAAGTTCACATCTCCAAAACATAAAGGACTTTTAAAAACTAATTTTCAAACTGCAACATTTTGTGGGCAATTTTATAGACCTGTTATATCATTGTTATTCTATATTATCAGTAATTCTATGAGAACCATAAAATTTCAAAAAGGAAATCTGTTCAAGTCCACAACAACTATTATGTCACCTTTAGGTTAATAACATTCCTCATACAGGAACTGGGAAGTTTTTCTTCTTTCCTTTTTTTAAAACATGTAAACAATTTGAAAGAGGAAGAAGCAATATATGTAATTAATTGTCATTAACATCGAAATTGCAAACAGTTGCCTAATCGCTGAAACTTGTCAGCTTTCAAATACATACATGCTCAAGGATTATCTTCAGACTCAGGTCTATTTCTCCTACTGCTACTATAGCTACCTTTCTAGTTTACCTTGCTCCTCAATGAAGGGAATGTTCAATTACTATTTTAGAAATGCTCCATTTACTACTGCCTATCACTGCCATTCATTGGTCTGTGACCACTTTACAAACCATAATGTTTCCCTCAATGTTTCTATTGATACACTTATCTACTACCATCCTTGTTCCTCTATTATTTTTTGTAGTTCTTTGTCAATAAGACTGAATTGCTTTCTCAGTAAAGAAAAAAGGCATCAAGGAGCCAAAGGCAAGGAAATGAACTTGTCACTTTTATACTTCCCAGTTTTCCTTGGTAATTGCCTTACGGTTTCCAGCACTTTTTTATTTGATGACTATACAATGAAGAAATCATTGAATGGATAATATGCCTACATTATCCAACCTAATTATTTCTCATGTTAGTTCAAATAATGTATATTAGCATGCAAATATTTATTAATGTGATATTTACATATGCATCACTCAGACAAAATGTAAAAGATTCCCCATTTTTCTAAATC